ACAATTTATAAATTGAGGCAAAATGTAAGTCAGAAATTTTTCATATTGATGAGCTTCATAGTGATCTATATCGATAAATTGTTTTTTGCATAATGAAAGATACTAAATCTATTGCATTTTTAAGGGACAAAACTGAAGAGAAAGAGATAGTATTGCTTGCAGTGTGAATAATTTTTTTATTTATAACAATGTGTAACCTAAACAGGCTTTAAAAATTCCAATGGGAATATGATTTTTATAGTATACATAAGAAAATGTGTTTAAAATTCTAATTTATGAGAAATGGAAGATAGCAGAATAAAGGAAGCTGCATTCCAAGCTGTGCTGTGTTAAAAGACCAAATAAGTGGGTATACAGCTTCTCAGCCTAGGTAGGTGAAGGAGAAATTTCACCAAAATTAAATATTGGACATTCAAAGAAACTTAGGGATTCCAAAATTTGAGTGTAAAAAAAAACTGAAGAAAGAAAGTGCCATTTCCCATGACCAATGGCTGCCAGAAATGGATTTGGCACAGACTTGTTGACTTACAAGGGGGAGTAAAGGAGGTTGCATTGCAAGCTGCATCTTTGGAGTGTCTTGATTCAGAGAAATCTCACATCAGAAACACTGCCTAAACTCATGTGATCCAGAGACTGCACTAGATGCTTAAAAATCATGCTCTGTTGGAAGGGGAAAGGGGAGTTCTATTCATTTCTCCTTTGTGTTTGGCAGCTGAAAGACCATTTGAAAGGGGCCAACAATATGAGTCGTTGAGGGGCAATGCAGTCAAGGACTAAATCCAGAAAGGCTATGCTCTGGGGCTCCAGTGAGTGTAGAATCATCCCCTATGAACCACAATTAGATTTCTTGGGAGGCTTCTGAGAACCAGATCCATTGAAGAAATTGGCTGCTGTGTAGCCTAAGAGTAGGTCAATCTAGTTTCTTCAAAGAAAGCCAGGTGCAACAAAACCTAATTAGACCTGAGGCCAACTAGATCTCAGTGCCAGCAGGTAGAACATCCCTTAAAGAAAGCTGCAGAAGTGGTAGCCCAGGAGTGCATCAAACTGGTCCTAATGGACACTACTAACTCATCCCCCTTCATGCAGAAAAGAAGAAAATACCTCTTACGTAAAACAGCTTCAATCTTAGGCCACTCCAACTAGTAACAAAAAAAGCAGGAAGAGGTTAACATCCACTTCCTTTGCTCTATCAGTACATAACTAAAAGTTATACATAATTTTAGTACATAATTTTTAGTTGTAGATGGACATAATACTTTCATTTTATTTATTTATTTTTTTTATGTGGTGCTGAGGATCAAATGCAGTGCCTCATATGTGCTAGGCAAGTGCTCCACGACTGCATAACCATCCCAGTCCTCTCATTCTATCTTATCTTCTGGTAACAACCAAATTCTATTGTTCTCTCTCCCTCTCTCCCAATACCTTTTTTCTTCTATTTTCCTTATCTTCTTCTAAATATTACTGCCAAATATCTTCTGCACTCTCTCTGTTCACTTTCTTATAAATCTTAACTAACTTTATAAGACATTTCTTTTTTCCTACTTAACTGCATTTTTAACATTGTATCTCCTGTCCCCCGCATTTAATGCTAATACAATCGTTAGTATTGTAGGTTATATGACTGACACCTGCTATTGGCTTTAAAGCCACAGCTAGTTCATGGTTATTGTTTATAATTCGACAATTGCTAAATTCACTACTCCTCTTTATGGCTACATTAATGTTGAGATATCAGAGCAGGATCTAGGTATTAACGTTAACTCTGTGGTATATTATTTGGAACAGTTATCACTACTGTTTCTTTCAACCCTATTCTATGTTGTGTTGAGAAGCCACAGGGACACTAAGAGTTCACAGGTTAAAAAATGTATTGCTGAACTAAACATTCCCTGACATTACTTTAACCCAAACAAGTGAGGAGATAAATCCCCTGAACTATCAACAAGAATCCAAGGAGGAACAAAAGAGAGGAAACTCGGGGCCCATGCATGCACATAAGTTTGTCAAAGTAAACAAAGTACCATATATAATTATAAAACTATACTAATAATTTTAAAAGAAAGAAAATTGCCAATTTCTAAATTCTAAAATTTAATCCCATTTCAAAGATTTTTATAGTTTGTTATACAATCCAAATTATTTTTAATTGATAAAAATACCAAGGAAAGTATGAATTCTTTATAAAAATATACTATAATACAAGAGTTATATATTTATTTATTGAGGAAAATAGATCATCTGAGCAAATGCTACATTTTGCCAGCCGCAAACTACAGAACACTCATCTATGCTATGTAGGAGGCACTCTCTGCCCACCACACCACAAGTAACATGGCTCAAAGGGGACCTCATTTGGTTCTTAAAAGAAGCTTGGATTCCAGATTTCTGCATCAGTCATCTTAATTTTAAATATGGACACAATGCTTAGATGTAAATTAAATAAATTCATGAGATAAAAATGATGAAGAAGATGGACAGAAATTTCAACAACTGTTATTATTCTGATCAAGAAAACCCTGCCTTAAAAATCCACATTTGTTGAAAAATGTCACACTTAAAACAAACATATTTTAAATATTTTGGAAATAATCATGTTTGGTGTATACCGTAGTTCTGGCTTCTATATCTGCATTGAGTGAAAGCAGTTTTTCTGCTAGTGATGTTTTCTTCAGAGACAGAGCAAAGTGAAGAGGAGTTTCATTTTGGTTGTTGTGAGCATTTGGATCAGCACCATTTTCTAGAAGGATAGTTGCACATTTCTCTTCCAGATATTGTAGGGCCTGTTGGGTTTATACCAAGAAATAAACTGTAAATTTTGACAATCCAAGAAAAACATTTCATATGTTTTACTAATTAATCATATTAAATAGAATTAATCAATTTTTCTTCTAAGCATTTCTATCATTTTTTTTTTCTGCAGATATCCTTGGCTACATCTACCTTCATCAATGGTGTGTTGCCATCACGGTCACAGAGGTGAACATTACAATTTTCCTTCACTAAAAAAGCCACCAGTTCTGGGTGGCCAAAGGCACAGGCATAATGTAGAGCAGTCCTATGAAGGCAAGAGGCTTTGTTAGAAGTTCATAAAGCATCCTCTCAAAATACATGATTATTTATGCAATTATCAACATTAAATAGTATGCAAATCCTCTATTATTTTCTAAAGAAAGTATAATATTTACTAGCTGTTAGTACACACTAAGTTAATAAATGAGCAGCCTATTCTGTTGACCTTTTCTTTTGTCTTTTTTGGATACTGCTATGGACTGAAGCCAGGAGCACTTAATCCAGGAGCAATATCCTAAGCCCATTTTTATTATTATGATTTTTTTTTCAATTTTGAGGCAGAGTCTCCATAAGTTTCCCAGGCTGTCATTGAACTTGCAATGCTTCTGCTTCATTCTCCCAAGTAACTAGAAATATAGGCATAAGCTACTGGGTCTGGTCCCATTGATCTTTTATTTTTGATTATTTTGGTTTTTTAGGTGCTGGCATAGAAACCACGACCTGGAGCCTCCTAGATAAAATCTCTACCATGGAGCTATATCCCATCCCAGAGTGTTCTACTTGCCTAGAAAGAGCATAGACCTTGAATTTAGCTCAACATTTGCTTGAATTCTACTTTAACCTCTGTGACATGCTATTTAGTTCTCCTATCCATCAATTTTATCTCCAATAAAATACTGATTAAAATTAGTAGTTACCTACTGGGATGATAGTGTGATGCTTAAAATTAAAATCTATGTAAAATGTTTGAACAGTTTCTAGCACAAGCAACAGCTCATTAATTGTTGGCTATTGTAATTATTACTATTACTATGAATCAACAGAGTATTTCACTTAATGAAGAAGTCCTATTATAGTGATTTTACAAATATCTTGTAGGGACTATGTATTTCAATGAGTCTTAGATGCTCTTTTTTTCTATCATTTTGACATCACTGACATTGGAAAGCCACTACATGTATAATGGCAGCATTCAATTTTTTTATTCATACATGAAATAAAGGACCATCACACAGTACCTTACCTTAAGTGAAATGTGATACACACAAGAGGTCTACAGTGGTTATAGTCATATGAGTGGCATTTAAATTAATTTTAGTTGTTAAAAATACTATAGGTAAGGAGAGATGAACGATAAAACAATAATAAAAGACCAAATTAAAACCATAGTAATCCTTGCTTTTCTTTTTTTAAAGTAATATAAAGCTAAAGGAAATGTAGGACTCAAATGAATTAGCATGGTTCAATCTATTCAATATTTAGATTTACAGGATATACATAAATCAGGTATTTCCAATGTTCAGTTTTTAACACTGTCTTTAAAAATGGGCAGTTCATAATTTCCTACCACCAGAGTGCTTCTGTTTGAAATGGAAGAGGAAAAGTTTTACTTGAAATTGAGTCCTATCTCTGAAGTTTTAAATTTCTGATTAATCAAACATAAAGCTTTTAAGGAAGAGTCTTAAGAGTCATTATGTCAATTACATCCTAGGTATTCAGAGTATGGGTATAAATGAATAAAATAAAAGAACAGATAAGTATACTTGAGTTCAGTTTTTTAAAGCAAAAATTATGAAGGAAAGCAATAATTTGGCAGTAGTAATAATCTTTTATTACTTGTTCTCTTTTTTATCAGCATGCCACAGAATTAGTAACCTATAATTGCATGTATGTAATAAAACATATCTATAAGAAATGTAATAATATCTATAAGCACAGATGAAAAGTTCCCCTTGCTTCTACACAGTAATGTACTAGAAGAAAACACAAATGCCTCTTTATACATTTTATATTGGCAAGAACGTTCCTAAGAAAGAAAGAACTGAAAAGAAGACTTCCATTTTTCCCACCTTTTAAAAAATCTTTTATTTATTTATTTATTTATTTAATTCTGGTGCTGAGGATTGAATGCATGGCCTTCAGTTTGCTAAAGCCAAAATGACTTACATTGGACAACGTACTCTTTTTCCAGATGCTCAAGTAACATATGAACATAGGAAAAAATATTTGTGCTTCTGGTAAGAGAAGGAATTTAATTTAACAAGAAATGAAATATATTTCAGAGCTACAAAATTTTGAGGATGCAGAGAAGTTGTACTTACTCTGCAGCTTAAGGTTCAGCTACTTAAGACTCACTCCTCAAATAGATGATTTGATGGTAAGTTCTGTGCAACATTTAGAAAGTATTCTAGTATATTAAATATACTTTCAGATATTTTCATGTTTTGTATTTTATCCTGATGTACTCACTCATATTTTGGCTGTTGGCAAAGAAGTAATTCGTAAAAGTTTACAATGTATTTTGATACCCAGATTGGCAAGACTTTGTCTACATAAACATTTTTGTAGTGTCATCATGATCTTAAATACTGCATGCAGGTGGGACTCAAAAATGTTATAACCCTGATATTTTAATTAATTTTTTATTTTAAAATTTTTGTGAAATTAGTAACCATAGAAAGAGCTCACACATTGGAGACAATGAATATTCCTTTTCACAAACACTGTCACCAGGGCACAGACCTACTATGGATAGCCTTTGTCCCTTGAGAACAAGGCAGAGCAAGGGACATTAGGGGAGAAGCAGGCAGCTTGTGCAGCCTGGGAACCTTCTGTTTGCTGCTCTCTTGTTCTTCTGACTGAAGGCCTGCACTGCCTGATCCTGTGGACCAATGGTCTGCTCTCTCTGTTTAAATAAACAAATAAACAGTAAGAGATAACTACAGAAAGTATATTGGAACAGGGGAATGAACAATTTTGTGCAGAAAGCTTTTGGCACATTTTTTTTAAGTGTAATCTGCCTGAAATGTACAAAATTAGAAAAGCAACATGTGTTTGATGCTTGGAAAGTGGGAAAGCTGCCAGTAAACTCTATTGTCTGCTCTCTTTAAAAGTAACTTAAGTGAATGAAATATTTGCAAAAAATTCAGGACTACTCAACAAGCCTTGCTATGAAGTTGGTTGGCTAATGAAGATGACATCAACTTGTCCTTCAGAATTTGATGAACTACTGCATTAAGCATGTGAGAAATAAGTAATATCTAGTGAGGAGTGAAAGTGTTCCTCCTAAATGTACTAGTGTGAATTAAGGTAAAAAACAAAAGAACAACAACAAACGTGGAGCCATGTTCTTAATTCAAAGAGTTCTAATAAAGGTTCCTCAGTAGACAACAGATAGTGGGTTATATTTGAAGAATTTTTTTAGCACTCTTGTTGCTATATTATGAGTAATATTTTTTTCTCATTTTGTATTTTTCTACAATGTATGTGACCTACTTGTGAAAGTGTGTACATTAACAATAAACTGCTGTATGTACTTAATCGTTAAACAATTAATTTGACAATTTGGAATTATATGACCCTGGGAAACCAGCTACAGATTTGTTTTTGTTTTACTGCTCATTAAGTCTGCCTGGGTGCTAGACCTCCAAGGTTTGCAGGTACCTGGTACAGAAGCCTCCATGGGGGTATGAAAGTCAAGTATCCTGTTGAAAGAAGGGTTAGTCTCCCTCCTGCTCTGCCCCCATGGGCACAGCTTCAATAGAGAAGACCCATTACCCTGCTTCCCCCAGTTGGCCCTTTGTCCTTCAGCCCCTGACTTCCCAGATCCCATACCTGTTCTTTCTGTCCGTGTCATCAACGTGACTTCCACGAGCTAGGAAATATTTCACTCGAGCTAAGTCACCATTTCTGACAGCCTCGTGAAATTTGTAAATCTTATTTTCCCAACGGTAGGCAACAATTTTCCTCCAGGCCAAGGACATTGTGAGGCATTGGATACTCACTCCCCTTGGGGGCTTCCCATGCCTCCAACTCAGATTCTTCGAACTAAAGATTAGCTGAACTAAATCGCTGCAAAGCGCCCAACAGTATAGACGCTGCGAGATTAGTATCTCTCCACAGAAAAATAGCCGTTACCAGGCAACATCAATAAACAGAACTGTTTATGGGGTCATAGCCTCTTGTTGGATAGAATCAGCTAGGCCAGCAGTGATTGGCTCCTGGCTGACTCACCACCTACTAGTCAGCTATTGGCTCTTCTGTCCAGTAGTAGATGGAAGTGTAGGATATGCAGTATTATGGGTGGCCCTAGAGCAGAAGTAAAAGTGGTTGCCTCAGGCCCAATACATCCCAATATTGGTGGGGGAAGGAAAGTCTCACCTTGACATCACAGCTTGCTGCTGCTTCTGCAGCAGCAGCAGCAGCAGCAGCAGCAGAGATAGAGCTGGATGAAATTTAAGCCTCATGGTGCCAAAACAAAACTTACTGAGCATGGTGCAAGGAGAAGACCTACCTGAGCTTATGGAAGGACAATCTGTGGCATGTAGATTAACTTCCTCCAAGGCCACCTTGCTGCACTCAACCTTGGGTCCAACCCCCATTAATTAATAAATTATTAATTACAAATAAATATCAGCTTGAGAAGAATTTGTATGATGAACATAACTGCACCATTGTTTGGGGCATATATATTTATGATTGTTATGTCTTGTTGGTGTATGGTTTCCTTGAGCAATATGTAATGTTCATCTTTATCCCTTTTGATTAACTTTGGCTTGAAGTCTGCTTTATTTGATATGAGGGTAGAAACCCCTGCTTCCTTCTGAAGTCCATGTGAGTGGTATGATTTTTCCCAACCTTTCACCTTTGGTCTGTGTATGTCTTTTCCTATGAGTCTCCTGGAGGCAGCATATTGTTGGATCTTGTTTTTTTTAATCCAATCTGCTACCCTATGTCTTTTGATTGGTGAGTTTAAGCCATTAATATTTAGGATTATTATTGAGACCTGGTTTGTATTCCCAGCCATATTTGATTATTTTTGTTATTTAACTTGATTTTCTTCTTTGATTAGTTTTTCCTTTAGGGTACTACTACCACCCTCTGATGATTTTCATTGTTGTTTTTCACTTCCTATTCATGGAATATTTTTCCAAGGATGTTTTGCAGTGCCAGTATTCTAGCTATAAATTCTTTGAACTTTTATTTATCATGGAAGGTTTTTATTTCATTTTCAAGTCTAAAGCTTAATTTTGCTGGATACAAGAT